CGAAGTGGGCAAGACTACCGCAACAGTCAGTACACCGAGGGCAGCGAGATCGGAACTTCTACCGGCCAGGCCGTTCGCGGTATTGCTGCGAATCCTAACATTATCCATGTTCCAAACGGTGTCGAGTCCAACGTAGCTTCACTCGTGGACGGCTCCATGCTTGAGTCTCAACTCACCACGGGCTCTGGATACGACTACAGGGACTCCCAAGTATCGTACGGTAACGAGTCCAATGTCTCTTATGGACCGGAATCCTACGTGTCGTACGCCAAAGACTCGAATGTCTCCTACGATGACCAGTCTAATATTCAGCCCCGTTCGCGCGACGTCAGCCCAGAAAAGCGATCCGTCGCCGACCAGCGGGAGTTCTTCGAGCAACGTGAGCGCGAGAGCAGCCGCACCCCTACTTCAAGCCGCCAGAGCCACCGGTCAAGAGAGTTTGCTGGCGAGTACGACCTTGACGAGTATGGTAGAAAGGTTGCTCCTGCTAGGTACAGGAACTCCCCTTCTACGTCTACACGGCACTCCCCCACTGCCTCCGAAAAGGCGATTGCCGCGGGAGCTGTCGGCGCAGCAGCTGCTGCTCTCAAGGCCGCCAAGGACAAGACGAAGCAACCGACTGTGGAGGAAGTCGACGAGGAGCATGCTGAAGAGTGGGTTCCCGAGGGCGTCGCGAGAAACAAGTCCTTCAAACAGCGAGCGATGGAAGGCCGCGAGCCGGCAAACACCCCAGCCCATAGCGTCGACCGTCTGGACCTTGAGGACAAGCCCAAGATGGGTGCTAGTGCCATGCCAACATTCGACGACCCGATGCCTGAGGTCGGATATGTGGACGACGATGCCCTGACCAACCCGTCGTTGGTCCGCGAGCCGCTCGGCGGCAGCGACCACAATGACGGGGACCACTGGCCTGGCGATATCACCCCTCGCCAAGGCACGCCTCGCCAGAGCGACTATGACCAGTCTTACGAGGAGTACAACTCGGAGAAGCACAGCCCGCGCGGCCACGGTGGTTATGGGATGGCCGCTGCCGGTGCCGCCATGGGAGCCGCCGCCGGCGCAGCCATGGCTCACCACCGACAACCCAGTGGAGAGCATGAGGACGAGTGGCGACGCACATCGGCTGAGCGAAAGCGCGACACTGTCATTACGAACCCCTATGATGGCGCGAGCCCCGTCGATCATCCTGACCTGCTCGGTGGCAGAGGATTCGAGGACTATGCTGCTGGGTACCACGCCAACAGTCCCGGTGGGCACAAGAATCTGGATGAGGGTTACATCTCTCAAGGTCCAATTCACTCGCCCAATATGCAGCCCACCAGCAAGGCTATGATGCCCTTTGGCGATATGAATGCGGAAGACCCCTTCTTCGCACCTCAGCACTCACGACACCTGAGTGGTCTTTCCCAGGGCATGAACTCGCCGCTGTACGATGCCGCCACTGGGAATGGTATCGACAGGATCGAATCCAAGGACATCATTGCTTTGATGCAACATGTGAGTATCTCGGTATGGTGGACATCAAAGGAAATGGCTAATAAACTCTCAGCTCATGGTTCGCGATGCTCAACGGAGTGCTCGTGACACGGAGATCCTCGTCACCTTGGTCCGTTCTGCGGCCGAAATGCGCAACTCTTTCGATGACCTCAAGAAACTCCTCGCCAACACCGAGGACGTCATCATCAAGGAGGTCCAGGAGAACACCGACGAGACGGTCAAAAACGCTGTCGCCGGTTCCCGAGCTTACCCTGGCAGCCTCCCTCGCTCTGTCAAGGGCTACAGCGCTGCATCTCAGAACAGCACCCTGGATGAGACCGCCAAGAAGAGCAACTTCTTCCGCAAGGCGTTGAAGGGCCTCAGCAACAAGGGCGCCAACGATCTCAGTAGAATCGAGGACATGCTCATGCAGCTACTAGGCGAGGTTGACACACTCAAAGCTCAGACTATGAGACCCGGCATGGTCAGCGGCCGGCCATCTTACGAGAACCTCACCCCAGAGATGCAGTACGAGCAAGATCGTGGCTACGAGCCCGAAGGTCAGGCTGGCACCTCCACTACTAGCCAGGGCAGCCACTCTGGGATGTCGTCATTTGCCCAATCTCGCGGGCCCTCCAAAATGGCCTACGAACCCAACCGCATCAGCACCGTCCATGAAGACAATGAGGAGGATTACATCTCCCAGAACAACTACCATGAGCCTCAGGGTATGCTTACACCGACTCGGGAGTTCCAGCGTGGCGGTTCTGTGCCGTTGGGCACACCTCCTCAACCCATGGCCGCTCAGAACGCATCGTTGAGTAACGACAACACTCCCAAGACGGACAAGGGCAAGAAGCACAAGAGGGGATCCTCGAGCTGGTTTCCCAAGATTTCTCGGTGGTCTGAGTCGACGGCTACAAGTGTAAGCAAAGCTTTCCGCGGCAGCGGCTCCAGCAAGAAGGAACACGAAGACGAGTTCCTGCAACATCCTCCATCCCGATCTGGCTCCGATCTCCGATACGACGACCGATACCAGAATGAATTTGGTGGCAGTGACCAATTGCACTCTGGTTTCTCCCAGCAGGATCTCGCAGCTCCTCAGCCCCCGCACTTGGAGCCTCCTGCCACCTACATGACCCCTGAGGACCCCAAGTACAAGGCGCACCGCAATTCGGTCAATCTCCAACATCCCCAGCCTCGTCAAGGACAGACTGAGAGGTTCAAGGCTGCCCTCGAAAGCCAAGCATACGACTACGACACGCCTATGTCTCCCAGGTCTGCAGACTGGGCCGGCTCAGCCACTAGCTTGCATCGCTTCCCCCCGAATGCCAATAGCTACAGTAATGGCTCCCCCGCGACGGGTGGTGACTACTACACTTCCTCCCCTGCTGGCCCGCCCAGGCCGCCCAAGGAGCCCATGGATGAGATGACCCACACGCCTGCCAAGAAGCGCATCTCCAACTTGGCCTTGAAGAGCAGCCCCCTCCCTTACAACAGTGTCGAGAGTGGCTACGGCACCGGCCCTGGTACACACGCCGCCAGCACTAGCAACTACACCGGCAGCCCCAAGCCGGAGAACCGCAACCTCAGCGGTGCCCGTGGCATGCCTGCGCGTAGGCCTTCCGGGCCGCGAGCCATGACCCCCAAGAGTGCGGAGGAGGAGGCCGCTAGAGAAGAGCGACGTCGCAAGAGAGGTGAGCACGTCCTACCCACAACAGTTGGTGCCACAAGCTGATTGACTTTTTAGACACCTTTGGCACTGTCGCTAGCAATGAGACCGACACCTTCTAGACAAAAAGATTCCTCGACACAGAGAATCGTTTGCGTACAACAAACAAAATAAGCACTACTACATGAGTTGATGCTACTGGATAGCTTGAACCACATGATCAGCTATAATCATTGAACATATTGGATGCAGATTCTTTCATCTGCGGTAGAGATGCAGCGGCAACCAACCAAAAAAAGGGGGGGCAAGTTGTACAGCCGCAGGGAGGAAGCGGAAGGGGATGACGGGGTGGATTTGGTTCGCTGCTCAGCCTAACGACGACATGACACGCAATTGATGGCTTTTGCGTTTTAGCGATGTTTTCGAGGTGGGGGAGGGGTTGGAGGAGGGGTTGGAGGGAACAACAGCACAGCATGACCTCAGTTGGGCATGTTGCGTTGAGGCAGTGCCGAAGGAAGAAAGGCATGGAATATGTTTGGAACGCGCGACAAAGTTGGTTGATACCACATTCTCGATATTGGGCTGCTGTGTTTTTTTTCCAAGAGCAGCCGTAACGCATAGCAGATACCATTAGGGGTTTTTTGACTGTAATAGTAGTCGTGGATAATGGAACCTCTACTTCGCCCTGACGATTTGACCAAACATGAAGATTGTGTTCCCGGAGGAAGAGATAGTGACATTGAACGAGGTGAAGCTGGATATGCTGCCAAAAACATACGTTGGGAGTGTAGTATGACATTGGCACCCAAGATAACTGATATGCCTCACGGGAGGAAACTATGAGCGACGGATTCTCGAAGGAACTACCGACATATCTGGTAGAGGGTGCGTGGGATTTGCCGTCTACGGTTACCTTTATCGATGGCAAGTACAAGATGTTTTCGTCCATGTCTGGTGTGAGAGCAACTTGTGTACGAAGAGGACTTCAATAGTAGTATATGATGAAAAGCAGGATATCTTCAATATCAAATCTTCTGCTTGTAGATTTCCGGACCAAATGTATTGTTATTCATTTTTGACAAGAACAAAAAATCAACTGTGTGACTACTTGCATGCATGGTTGAAGACGCAGATGAAAAATAATTGAGTGAATCATGGTGAAAGTCGGCTTGAACCCGTGGCCTCTATGAAGAAAAAACAAGCTATCCATGGCATTAAGTAGGACCGTGAGCCAACATACGACAGAATCGTACCGCTTGGCCGTTGACTACAACGGACGGTGCTTGTTGAGAGCCGTCTCTTCATTGGTATTGTATATATGTAGGAATAAACAGACCAGTTTTCGCCTCATCTATGGTTACAGCTCGCAAACGACTTCACTTGGAAGCTTTCCACAAGTCAAGTCAGTTAATGAGCTCTGGTGCCAGCGAACTGGAAATTTTTATTCTAGCCATGAAATAGCTGGTGCGCAGAATATCAGAACGACACGCTTTACTTCTGACCAAAACGTACAGCATCTTCTTCATTTCAGTACCTTAGGTAGGTATTCATGTCTCCGACGTTGGGTCGCTCGATGCCCGGTTTAACGCCTACGTCACTCCCACCCGATAAGACTTATCGCCGACAACCGGGACAGCCCCTCATTGCATTAGCGAGGTTTCGGCGATAAAGATAAGATTGTGTGCGCAACGCCCTTTCGCAAACTTATTACCCCTCGAACGACTTTTGAGCCCACCGCGAGACTGGGCGAGGGAGCAAGCCATATAATCATTCTGCCGACGAAGACTTCGCCGCCTCCTTTCCTCCCTTCCGTCTCTCATTCTCTCCTTACCTTACCTTACGTACCGCCACGATGCCTCGAGATCCGCTCATCGGTCTGGTTGGCAAGCCGTCGGCCGGCAAGAGCACCACGCTCAACAGTCTCACAGACGCCTCGTCAAAAGTTGGTCCGTAAACCTCCAAATCCAAATTCGACCGAGAGAGAAAACCGACAACCCACGGTCCGACCTGGTCGCTGATGGACATATCGTGAAAACAGGAAACTTCCCGTACGCTCCAACTCTCATCCTGACCCCGGCCGTCTCCTTCATATAATGGAGATTATGTTTTATTCGTTGGTGGTTTGGCAGCATCCACTAACATTCAATGTCTCTTTCCTCCCCTTGCAGATTCACAACTATCGACCCCCAAAGAGCAATCGGCTACCTTCAAATAGAATGCGCCTGCGCGCGCCACGGCGTCTCGGACCGCTGCCGACCCAACTACGGCGCCTGCATCGACGGCCGCCGCTCCGTGCCCATCGAGCTCCTCGACGTCGCCGGCCTCGTGCCGGGAGCGCATCAGGGCAAGGGCCTAGGCAATAAGTTCCTCGACGACCTGCGACACGCCGACGCGCTGATACACGTGGTGGACGCCTCGGGCACCGTCGACGCCGAGGGCAAAGAGACGCGCGGCTACGACCCGTCGGTCGACATCGCCTGGCTGCGCGGCGAGATCGTGGCCTGGATCCGCGGGAATCTGATGGAGAAGTGGGGATCGATCCGGCGGCGGCACATGGCGATCAAGGCGACGGCCGTCGAGACGCTGCAGGGCCAGTTCTCGGGATACGGAAGTACCTCCAATGTCGTCGCGCGGGCGCTGGACCGGTTGGGCATCAAGGAGCCGCTCGAGGATTGGGACGCCGAGACGATTGACCGCGTCGTCAACGCCTTTACCGACGAAAAGTTCCCGACCGTCATTGCGCTCAACAAGATTGACCACCCGGACGCCGACAAGAACATTGCCAAGATTGCAAAGATGCAGGACCCCAACACGATCGTGCTGTGCTCCGCCATTTCGGAGATTTTCCTGCGCAAGATGGCCAAGCAAGGGTACATCAAGTACACGGAAGGCAGCGAGTTCGTCGACACGCGGGAGGACCTGATCGAGCAGGGGGACCCGACGGGTGGCGGACTCAAGGAGCTGGACGAGAAGAACCGCAACCGGATAGAGAACCTCAAGGACATGGTGCTCTACCGCTTCGGGTCGACGGGCGTGGTGCAGGTGCTCTCCAAGGCGGCCGAGATCCTGGGCCTCGTCCCGGTGTTCCCGGTGCGCAACACCACCTCCTTCACCTCCGGCGCTGCCGAGTCCAAATTTGTCTTCCGGGACTGCGTGCTGGTCAAGAAGGGCACCACGGTCGGCGAGGCGGCGCGCAAGGTCATGGGCGACGCGCCCATTGCGTATATCGAGGGCGCCGGCGGCCAGAGGGTCGCGGAAGACCACCTCGTCACGGTTGGGAAGAACGATGTAAGTATTACCTCGCCCCCTTTTTTGATACTCACATACACGTATCCTAACGTTACTTTCACACAGATCTTGTCGTTCAAGGTTGGAAGAGCTTGATGAAGAGTTGCAGCCATCTCTGCGTCATCTGATCATAGTACACTCATTTCCCACCACAGCTGCCATAGACTGGGAAATACCCAGTGACATCTAGATTCCCCGTGACTGCCCATCTCCTTGGAAAATATAGAAGGGGGGTTTATCGCAAATCGTTCTCAAAAAGCTCCATATAGAGTTGGGAGGCGGGTACTCCGGAATAACCGCCCCCTAGCCCAGTAAGGCGAGAGCGATCACCTGGGGGGGGCCAAGGGACCATTCAGGGTGGGCCTCGAAAAAAAGAATTAAATAAAGAAATTTCAAAAGATCAAGACTTGCCGCAGGCAATGAAGCGCTATTTTCAATGTTCCGACTCGGGACTCGAGTCATTGCGATATGTGGATCGTATAAGGTATCATCTTGATATTCTGCTTTATCTCGATATGTTCGCATTCGCGCTTCGCGGCCATACTCGCGCCATCTCGTTTTCTCTTTTTATCTTTTATTTTTTAATCCGTACTAGATTCCCTCCTCATTAGGACAGTGACCAGCCGACGGGTTGCGGTATGCGCCTACCTACCTTACCAAAGTGCAATTTAAACTAGCGGACAGGGATACAGGCCTCACCGCGAAGGCGGGGGCCCTGTCCTGTCCTGTCCAGTCCTGTCCTGTCCCACCAGGCGCCTGCTGCCAGCGGCCGGCCAGCCAGCCACAATGGAGCCTGGGCCCCCGGACGCTTCTGGCTTGGCGCCGATTGCCAGAAAGCCCAGAGGTACCCGCAGTGCCGAGCTCTTGTGCGTCCGAGTTGCGTACGCGTCCCTCGGCTTCCGCTGCGCTGGCGGATTTCACCATGTTGCAATTTGCAAGATTAACCATTTCTGCTGTATTCCGTAATATCGTACGGAGTACCCGCGAGGCAGACTGCGAGCAATAGGGCGGATCAGCAAGCAATTTGGGGGCCATTGGCATGCTTATTCCCGTGCTTACGCTCAGCTCAATGTGACAGAAACAAGGTTATTTTGCACTCACAAACTCATCTGAGCGCAGTCATCGCGAAGGAAATAAGCTCCAAAGTAGCGTCGCAAAGTCGGATGTCTTTGATGGTGATCTAGAATCTTTTTGGGACTATGAGGTAAGTTGTAAACGTTTCAATGCGACAAGCATGACATCACATGGATCTGCATCGATGGTTTGGTAGTCTAGTGGAGACGTCCAACCGCGTATCAAGCAGAGCTGACTGTGTTCAGCATTCAGCGGCATGGTCGGAAGCATTCGTTCTCGCAACATTGCAGGAGTATGCACAGCCAAGAAAATATCGTGAGGTAAGTGGTTTGAAGAGATTGATATGTCGGGTATCGAATTAAGCATGCTGCACACAGCGCGAATCCCTCCTCCACTTCCTGGTCCTGAATGCCTGCCCAAAACAAATCGTTTCGAAAAGTCGCATTCCGCAAGGTGAGAAGTAACGTGACAAAGTCCGAAGAATGGAACCGCCAGGAATTATGAAAAGAGGCCGTTGCTGTGTCGTTGTCGTAAAAAACAGTGGTGGAGGTTGGTGAGGTAGGGGGTAATAGGCCAACCCTGCAGAGCAGCATACATCCTTGTAGCTGGCGCAGGAGGATCCCCCAGCATTGCCGGATGAGACGGAAAGCCAAGGTCGCTGGAATGCCCGGCCACCGCCTACAGCGTCACACTCTGCGGGAAGGCGTGATTACATATCCTTGAGAGTAGGTAGAGGTCATGTCGCTTCCGTTGCTGGATATCGTCATGCCCTCTCGTGTAGGCGATTACGATCGGAGAATTGCAGCGACGATTCGCTTAGTACTTCAGAATAATGTACAGAGCGTGGATGATACCAGGGAGGTAACCTGCTATTATTAGCTTTGTTCATGGTGTCTGTAGAACAGTTAAGCTTACCAAGGATGGTCAACAGGATGTTGATGAAGAAGTCAGCGCCGCAGCCACGCTCGAGGAAGACACCGACGGGCGGGAGAATGACGGCAAGAATGATCTTGCAGATATCGGAGGCGGTGAAAGGCATGTTGATTGATGTGTGGTGTTGTCAAATGGTGTTTGTTTGTTTATGTAGGGTAGTTCGTGACGGGATCTTGAAGATCTGATGTGTGATGTCGAATGTAAGTTCGTTGGTTGATGAGGGGAGGGGAATCGAATGGTAAGTGGGCTGGGGAAGAGATGGTTATATAGCAGGAATGAGAGCAACTACCAACTGGGAAGCCACAGCCCAGCGCAGGAAAAATACAAAAAAAGGCAAGGACGAGCTCACAGTGATGTGATGTGGACTTGCATGGGCCACCCCTTCCCGCTCTACTCCGTACCCAACCTGACCTTACCTTACGGATACGTCTGACAAGGGACAAGCCAGTCGCAGGTGGCAGGCCGTGAGGCCCGGCAGACAATGTCTTCCCCCCCAAAGTACCCAAGCGCAGCCTCCCAAGACGAGCCAACAAGCAACAAGAATGTCTTGTCGTGCCGGGAAAGGCTTGGGGGTGTGGTATGAGAGAGGAGTTGCGTCATCGACTCATTCCCGGTTTGCTGCGGCAAGGAAAATAAGGCACAAGCGGCAGCACCAGCACACGGCCACGCGAACTGCAAGCTCTGGGCCTCTGGCTAGGCCATTTACGCCTTGGGAGAAGGAGGAAAAGATGGGATGGCTCTTGCCGTGCGTTGCGGACAAGCCACACCTCCGCCCACTTTAGCAATGACCTTGTCTCTTTTTCCTCCTCCTCCTCTGCACCTGCTGCAGGCTCTCCCTCCTGCGCCTGCGGAAACAAGCACCCGAGCGGAGTAGATGAGAGCCCCTTACGACGTATCACTGGGACACACGGCATCTGGACCTTCCTGCTGCCTGTCATGCCTTTGTCGCTGCATCAGACCTCTCAGTGCACACTGCCAGGTTTCTCGAATCCCATTGACGAGGATTGGTTGCCTGCTCACGACCTCCGAACCTCGCTTCAACAGCAAACATTCGTTCCCCCTACGTCTTCGGCGTTGTTCCCTCTCTGCGCTTCCGCGATGTTCAATCGTCTTGGATCGCGGTGGTCTCGGTTTCCGATCTATTCTTACTGAATCGAGACCCATTGCGCGTCCTTCCATCCCTCTTGCCCAGCCCTTTCCCGCCGTCATTGAGGGGCTCTGTGCGGTTAGTCTGGCGACCTTGGGCAACTTGCACACAGTTAAGTCCTGCTCAACTCCTATACTTGCTCCTCATGTACCTCAGCACCTTAGCTGCGTGAACTCTTTTCGGTGGACGCGATCAAGGTGGGTGCTACGTCATCAACCGAGCCCTTGCTAGCGCCGCGCTGATGGGGTCCGCTCTTCTTAATTTTGCTCTTTTTGCTCATGGCTCCACCCATCGTCATCCAGTCAAAACAGCTCCGAGCTGGTCAGGGGACATCCCCATGCACGCAAGCCTCAAGGTGCGTGTCATGCGCCACAGACGCCACACATTCGAAGCTGATCTATGGCGCAACAGTGACGACTCAGCCACAGATACATTCCAGGGTCTGCCTGTCTTGTCCATGTCGAGGCCCCCAACAACTCAAGAAGTCAAGGTTGATGCTATTCTTTTCTCCAGCGGACATCGGTCCGTCCGCCCTCGCTGCGGAGGAGGACGCAACGCACTGGCGATCCAAGTGGTTCTTGTCCTCCACTTGAAGATTTCCTTTTCTACGTTCGTCCTAATTCCCCTTCTTCTTCCTCCTGGACAACACAGGAAAACCTGTCAGTCATGTCTCACCAATGAAACCCAAGGCCCTCGTGACTTATGACGCAAGGGGCCCGGTCATGCCCGGCGGCAAAGAGGGCCAAGCCGGTTCGGCAGCTCGCAGGGCTAGGGAGGAGACGCGGCCTGTCTCCGCTCTGCAACGGGAAACAGTCAACGTGGGCGGCGAAAAGACGTCAAATCCTCAATGTCGCCCTCGCTCCGAGCTCGTAGGGCTGGGCATGACCGGCAGGCTTGCGGCGAGGCTAGCTGTGGCTGGTAACTGTGAGGTATGCCACGACGGATGTTGCGTGCCTTGGACAATTGTTGCGATTTCGTCGCAACCAACGCCACACTTGCGCACGCTTGAGGCTCAAGGGGCCGATGATGTAGTGTCACATTCGCGTTTCCGTTGATTTCCCGGGCCCGAGGCTATTATTAACATGTTTATTTCTTGTTTCGGCCGGGCGAAGCCACCTCATTGGCAATCGACTCTAGCTACTATACATCGGTTTCCCCACGAAAGCCAGGTCTGGCCAACAGTGATGAACTAGCTCTCATAGGCAACCCTAGACTGCCAAACTGCCTAGACATGCGAGTCTGAGGCTACTGCCCACCAGCTATTGTTGGCTCAGCATTGGACATGACACAACTGGCTTGGAGTGTATACCAAGGCAGCGAGGTCCGTACTTTCGCTGGACCGCTATTGGCGCCAATGGTGCCGTATTTCCGTAAACTATTCCGGCTACGGTTTGTTTGGGGGAAAAAAAATAAAGATTGTAGGTTGGACTTGGCTTTGAGCGTCATAGGAGTTCATTCGTCGTCGTGCGCCGAGGGAGCCATTTTCCTGCCAAACGCCAATGTGCCGCCAATCGTCTTACCCAAGATGTATCCAGCGTAAAGGCCGCAGACAATAGTGACGGGCCACTTCTGCCACTCACGATCCCAGTCGAGCGGAATGGGCACCGCGCCGAGCCACGCACCCAACAGTCCTCCTACGAGACCGCCGTATGCCTCGTCCAGCGGTGCCGCCGCACTGGCGAGAGCCGCCCAGGTGCTCGCGTCGACTCCGTGAACGTAGAAGAGTGGGAAAAGCGAGAGAATGGCGACGTTGGCGGAGCAGAGGAGGGTATGCGGTACATGCGTCAAGAAGGGGGCGCCGAAGAGGACCAGGACGACGTGGATGGCAGGCGTGACAAGGACTGCGAGGAGGAGGGAAAGGAATATAGCCTGAGGGAGTCCCGATAATTAGCTATGGCGTACCACAAGTCGGCCGAGACTTGTGACTTACAATGAAGATATTTGGCCCCGTGCTCTCAACCTTCTTCTTCTCACCCGGCCGAGGCTTCCTCGACGGTCTCGCGCTTTGCGATCCAGCCGCCGGCAGACTGACAAAGGCGTAGACGACCTGGATCGCTACGACGATGGGTAGCGAGTTTTGGAGGGTTCGCACGGGGTCGGCCACTAGGGAGCTGAACTGCGCGAGAAAGAGGCCGGAGATGAGCACCGGCTGGAGGTGTCGGACGACCTGCGCGGCAGGGCTCGCCAGGGCGTGGACGGGATGCAATCCGTTGTCCTTTGGCTTGCCCGCGTCGGAGGCGGCTTTTGATGATGCGGGCGCTGACATTGTCACGGAGTCGACCAGTGGCATGGTGTGGGTAAGGGGGAGAATGGAGTGAGACGATCGATTCGGTCGGGGTTCGGAGCCCAGTCTCTTGTCGTTACGGTCGATGGCTAAGGCAAGGTACGGGTTGAGTTCGTGAACGAGTACCCGGAAGGCCACGGCTCTGGAAAGACGCCGGGACGGGCGCGTCGAGGCGCGGGCACCGTGCATTCGGACCCGACCGGGTCACATGGCGATAAGAAGTGAAATGACTGATAATGAACACCATCTACCTTACCTTAGATGTATCAACCGGCTCGCTTACCTAAGTAAGACACTTAGGTAAGGTACCCTGCTTCTCTCGCTCTGCTTAAGGAACCTAAGCCAGTGCCTCTGGTAAGGTACGTATCTGCAACAAGTTCTGCTCACAGAGTAAGCTACATGGTAACTGTCTCACGGTTTACCTTGTTTGGATCATGACTGTTCATCTCAAGGTTTTGGTCTCCTCTTTTCGGGATCTGTAGGATACAAATCTCTCGACTCGGAAGCAAGGCAGCTGTCAATCTTTCCCCGGATTCACCCTCGTCAGCGCACCCAGCCGGTCGGGGCCTGTGGTTCGATAGCTGAAGGAAATGGCGATCATATCATTGGCACAGGATTCCTCGCCCCGCTTCTGTCCAATCAGCGCTCGTACTCGGTGTCTCCCGTCAGACCACATCACCCCATTAATGTTGGCAGTCGTCAGGAAACCACCTGAAAACGCACGATCGCCCAACGTCAGTTTTTTTTTCTTCCTTGGTTGCTAACAACGGCTGGAATCCAAACGGACCCCTCCAACTCGGGCTTTGCGAACCACGTTACCAAGCGCTGCGCTTGCCCCCTTTTCGCGGCTGCGCCTATTGGGTGAGACATAGTTGTCGTTCATGATTCACACCTTTTTTTGGTGCTGCAGAAATCCAAACCCTTGGCTCTGGCTTTTGGGGGGATCCGTTTAGAAGATGGGATGGCATGATCTTGACCCGGCCCAGATTAGAAGCCTCCAGGCACGGCAATCTTACGGGCAAAGCTGCCCGCCCATCTGCCCACAATAGGCGTTTGCCGTTGGAAATCCCGGAGTCCTTTGTCAAGATTCACAGATCTCGTAAGTATGCGGGTTGGAGGCACAATCTTTTCCTTGGTATAAGATCCAAAGCAGCTTCCCGTCTGTTGTGTTCCCATTCTCGTTCTCATCATCATCACACATCAACAACACCAAGCAGAGTCTCAACTCAACCACCAAACAAACTCTCCACTACATCTTTTGTACGAGTGTATTACTTTCCACCTCACTCCTCTCCATCAAAACAATAGAAGTATCTTGACTCAACACCCAAAAAACCAACTCTCCCACCACCACTCAAAATGTCTCCCGCCTTCGCCGCCCGCAACGCTGCTCGCTTCGCTGTTCAGCGCAGACAATTCACTCTTCTCCACAACATGCGCAACGTCGCCCGCTCCTTCGAGCCTCATCCCTTCCAAAGAATGTCCCAGACTGGTGTTCACGCCAAGCCCTACTACGGTGCCATGATTAAGAAGCGTGCCGTTACCGCAGCAATGTAAGAAGCCATCACGGCCTTGAACATAGGATAGACGACAGTGACTAACATTGCGTCAAACAGGTTCTTCCCCCTTGCTTTCGGCATCCTCGGCTGGCCCTACGCTAGCATGCTGCTTGTGGATGGCCACATGTAAACAGGCTCTTGGATAATCCACCCCCATCATGGGATGATTGGAAACAACGATACAGGAATTGGAAGTTATTTTTGGGAATTTGGGACATTTACGAGATACCAGTGCATATCTCAAGCATTTGAAGGCGTTCGGGGGGGTTCTTGGATACCTCTAGCATCGGTAGAAGTCCATACGGACCATGCATAATTTACTTTGTTCAAACGAAGAACCCAGCTTCAATCTCCTCGACAAGTGATGTCTCATTTTGGGTCTTCTTTATCAGTCTCTTTTCAGTCTCTTTCTTAGTGTAATTTGTAGTGTCATTTGGAGTCTCATTTCCAAAACTCCAAACTTGTTCTAAATGAATTTATAAGTGCGGTTAAAGTCGTAAACTTTGCATCGTCCCATGTACTACTACTATCTTGACTTCACTTACAACTTACAAGAGACCCTGAGAGGCCCGTGCATGGAAGCTCCAAAGTGCGCTACTCCACTTCTGTCCTAGTCCCTCATTCGCGCCCATGCAGCTCCCCGGACTGCTACCGCGTCGTGTTGAAGCTGCCACTTTTAACCATTTTGACAACACTACCACCTCCCAAGGCGAGCAAGTGCGACCACGACCAACGATAATAATTGACAATCAGGTGCCAGCGACCTGTCTTCAAGCTCGAGTGCGGCTTTCTGCTGACTGTCATCGAGCCACCAAGCATCGAACCGCCCCCACTTGCAGTCACCGCCCGACCAACAAACAAAGGGGTTCCGGTGCGAAAACGAAACGAAACGAAACGACCAGCAGCAAGAGCATCGTGAGGGCTAACAAGCTCGAGGTACAGACAGACAATACCATTTTGTTGTTGAAATTTCGGATGCATCTCACAAGATGACGGACTCGCTGCACAACGCGCCAATTGTCCTGGACAATGGCTCCGGTACGATCCGCGCCGGTTTCGCAGGCGACGACCTGCCCAAATGCTACTTCCCCTCATTCGTCGGTCGGCCCAAGCATCTGAGAGTTCTCGCCGGCGCCCTCGAGGGCGAGGTCTTTATCGGACAGAAGGCGGCAACGGAGCTGAGAGGCCTGCTGAAGATCAGGTACCCGTTGGAGCACGGCATTGTCACAGACTGGGACGATATGGAAAAGATTTGGGAGTACGTCTACGGCGAAGGCCTCAAGACGCTCAGCGAAGAGGTTCGTTTGGCACAGATGATGACTCGTTTGAATTTGCGAGACGCACCGTATCTGCTCTTGATGCTAATGCCCACCTCAAGCATCCCGTCCTCTTGACAGAACCACCCCTCAACCCTCGCAGCAACCGCGACACAGCGGCCCAGATTCTCTTCGAGACCTTTAACGTTCCGGCACTGTACACATCAATTCAAGCCGTCCTTTCATTATACGCCAGCGGCCGGACGACCGGTATTGTTCTTGACTCGGGCGATGGAGTGTCACACGCGGTGCCGGTTTACGAGGGTTTCGCCATGCCGAGCAGCATCAGGCGGATAGACGTGGCAGGACGCGATGTAACCGAGTACATGCAAATGCTGCTGCGGAAGAGCGGCTACGTCTTCCACACCAGCGCCGAAAAGGAGGTTGTGAGGCTCATCAAGGAGTCTGTCACTTATGTCGCTCACGACCCCAGGAAAGAAGAGAAGGAGTGGGCAAACAGGACAGATCCGGCCAAGGGTGTGGAATACGTTCTTCCGGACGGTCACAAGCTCAAGGTCAGTTTCTCGTTATGGGAGATGGCTAGGATACGTAGGCTGACTATGTTTACAGATCGGTGCGGAACGGTTCAGAGCACCGGAAATCCTCTTCGACCCTGAAATCATCGGCCTCGAGTACCCTGGTGTGCACCAAATTGTCGTTGATGCCATCAACAGAACGGATCTCGACCTGCGCAAGTCGCTCTACAGCAACATCGTGCTCTCTGGCGGCAGCACGCTAACCAGGGGCTTCGGTGACCGTCTATTGACGGAGCTGCAACGGCTGGCCGTCAAGGACATGAGAATAAAGATTTTTGCGCCGCCAGAACGCAAGTACTCGACATGGATCGGTGGAAGTATTTTGGCTGGTCTCAGCACTTTCCGAAAGGTAGGTTACATTCTACTCGCTTGCTCTTTTCCGTGGGCTCAATTCACTGCGGAATCTTGAGGCTAACCCCTTTTTACAACAGATGTGGGTGAGCATCGACGACTGGCATGAGAATCCGGAAATCATTCACACCAAGCTTACGTGAGATGGTTCTTGTTTTTAATTCATATCGATGAAGCGGTTTCCAGATGGCGTTACTGGTCCCCCTCTCGACGTTTATAGATCTAGAGCTGTATTCACCATCCTGTTGCGCCTAATGATTAGACACAAAGGGCGACAACTGGATGAGTAGATGGAGTTTAGATGTCATGGAAGTTGGGAGCGAGAGAGAGTGACGATTGGCTGAATTTGAGATTTACCTACCCTCAAAAGACATCGGCATTCGCGGAGCCATTGTCATAGGTAAAAGGCAGCATATGAGGTAATGGTCAGCTAGAAAGTTGAGAATGATACCCGAACCTGTTGTCTTTTTTGATAATAAATGCAGTTTGTGCTTTTGACTATGCGTTGCCGTACCATGGTATGCAGCTTGCCGCTTGGATTGGGGTCCAGTTGGTTGGTTGTGGTAAGGTTGCGTGACATGCGTCCGATGGGAACCGGAGGTTGCGTTGGTATCAATATATTCCTTTTTCCCTTCGGACGGTAACATTCTTTCTACTCGCAACCTTATCTCCGTGTCTTGCCGACATGGCGTCAATGATTGTATTCTCTTCTGTCTCATCTATGATAGCTTCTTATCTCTTGGGCCTCCAAGCGATTGCTCCTCCTCCGATCTCGTTGCATGCTTCTGTCACATGTCAGGTGGGATCGTCCTGAGTTTGTGAGGAATGGTGATATATCGATTTCCTGGTTCGGCCAATGTGAGTGAGTTACTACACGGTTCTATCTGAGTTTGCTGTTGGAGGTGGGGTCCAGAACTGAGACCTAGGTAGGTAGTATTGGCGCGTACGTATGGTTGTATTCATATGCAATGATACCGACCAGAGGTGTGGTGAATTGATGTTGGTTTCCTTGAGTTGGAGCGGGTGAGAGAAGGTGAGGGTTGTGGATGTGAGACTGGGGATCGCTGTTGTTGGGCGGTCAAGGTTGGTTCTAGCCTGCCAGATGGAGGGCATGTTGGAGTGAGATGAGAGACTACGGATACGCAGTTTGAGACGCCGATTTTGGCCTCGTCTACCTTCTTCTCTCAAGGTTTGTGACTTTAGTTGTTGTTCACTGGTGGTCTTTGCTCATTGAGACGTAATTAGTACAGGACTGCTTCAACCATGACAACCAGACTATTCTACGTCTTAGCAGGCAGAACCAGTAAAATAAATCGCAGAATAAAGGGAATTGTGCCACGAGTGAGCTGGTTCACTTAGGTTATTGGCCGGCAGATGAGATTATGTCACATTATTGGCCAGGATTAAAGTCATTCATGAAGATGTGAAACCTTTGATATTCAAGAGGAAACCAATAGATGGTCCCTCCAAGTACTACTTTGCTGAACAACCAGATGGGTGAATCTGGGGGTATTGTGTCCGCCGCGCTCGCTCTCATGCCGTTCACCAGAAAATAGAAGCCATCCCGAGGCCGCTCCCGCTATGTCCTTGATAATTCATTCCGTGTGCGTGTGTGTGCTTTTTTTTTTGGTTCCCGTAAAACGCCGTCCCGTTGTGGTTATGAGAAAAAAGGGTTGTGAAAGTGCTCAGTTGGCCTTGGTGACCCGGCGCCAGAAGTTACCGCCGCGGTTCTTGAGAGACTTGAGCGAGGAAGTAGACGCGGACTCCTCCGAGTCGCCGCTGTGGACGGAGGAGGCGTCCGAGATGCGGCGGGTAACGTTGCCGGCGCCGCCGATACCGACGTGGCCGACGGCGGCGCGGTCGCGAACCTCCTGGCGGTCAAAGTCCTCGTCAAAGGTGCGGACGGGACGCTCGGGGGCCTCGTGGCGGTTGCCGGCGCCGCCGATGCCAGAGTAGAAGCGGCGGGTTGCACCTCCGTTGCCGGCCGGGATGGGCGCGGGCTTGAGAGGCGTGGTGATGCCGGTGGCCGGGGTGAGGACCTGGGGAGCCTTGCGGATGTTGCCGAAGCCGCCTCTGCCAGAGTAGATGTAGGTGTTTGGTGCCACGGTGGGGTGAGGCTCGGTGACGAAGATTTGGGAAGGCATCTTGGTGGATTTGTGTGTTGTGTGTTGTGTGTGTGTGTGTGTGTGTGTGTGTGTGTGTGTGTGTGTGTGTGTGTGTGTGTGTGTAATGTTTGGTGGTGGTGGTGGTGGTGTTGTTGAGTTTTGAGGTATGGTGCGAGTTGGAAGTGGGTGTAAGTGAGATGGATGTCAACTGAAGTGTCGTCTGAACTGTCAGATGAGGAGACTTGGGTAACCAGCCGAGGATGTGTGAGATGTGTCTTGGATGTGTCAATGATGGGAGAGGGGAATCCTCGTGAGACTGGCGAGAGGAGGCCAAGGTTATTATAGGTTTGTCCTTGGAAGAGTAAGAGGTGGTGGAGGGCTAGCCTCACGGACACACCAAAGGGAACAGACGACTGGACTTTGCAGTGTCCTCCTGACAAGCAAAAGTTTCTCCCATGCCCCATGGACTGAGTGACGGCGTTGCACTCGCAACGAACAAGGTGTGCTTTCTCACACTTGAGAGGGAACAGGTATACTAGGTAGGTACGTAGCTACGTACTGTGGTGCAAGACTTTTTCTTTCTTTCTTAGTGTGAGAAGGAAAGAAAAATAACAATAAAAAATGAATAAAATCGGAGAGCCCACATTAGGCAAAGTTTTGTCAGAGAGGGCGGCTCTCGAGCAAGTCACAGAGTGAGGACGAGGCGGAGAGATCTGGATGTGCAAAATTAGCATGGCCCCGAGGCCCCGAAACAACGGGAGCGGAGCTACGCTAGCTAGGCTGAGCCCAGGCTCATGGGTAGCTTGGACCTTGGCTTCTCGCTTTTGCCAGGTCAGGTTTGCTGTTGTTGACTTGTTGGAGCCGGTGTGGGGAGTGAGCAGAAGAAGAACATGCATGTCGTGATGCAGTGAGTGAATGACAAGACAAGGTCAAATGTGTGTGAGACATGGGTCTTTGCCGGAGGCATGCTGCATATGCCGTATGCCTCTCCAGGTTGCTAGGTCTTTTACCACCACCAACACACGCGCTCTGAGCTCTCTCACCCTTGTCATATATCGCAAGCTGCTGGGCAGTGCAATTGAATTGTAACCGGACAGAAGAGCATTCTCTCTTATCGTCAATAAGCAAACGTCGAAATCCAAGTTCAGCTACTTTTGGTTGCACTCAATGATCTCACTGATAAGGGTTGTAGAAAAGCAACGAGTAACGCCCGTTGTGTTGTTTGTTATTCCTACGCAATCACCTCCAGGCCCCCAAGGACCCCAAGGACCCCAAATGCTGGGCAGAGCAAGAGGGCAGCTTCAGGGCGAGCTTCAATTCATCCGCCATGGCGGTGATTGATTTTTTTTTTTTTTCTCTCCTACTCTCCACTTCTTGATGCCAGGTGGACCGCGTGACTCTTCAAAAAACCTCCAGTTGTCAAATTCTCGCCATGAAAAGACGCCATTCTGGAGCAAACGATGGGGTAACGTTTTGCTAATAGATTGCCGCTTTCGGCCGTAGCGCGGCCTCGGGAGGGCCCACTGGCTGGTCACGACGCTCCTCTTTAAACAAGCCTGAAGGGCTGGGAGCTGGGGAAAACGGGGCTAATGCAAGGAACGTGGAACGTGCTGGACGGAATTTCGCAGTGACTCTTGAGTCTGGCAGAGTTTTATTTTTCTCTCCTCCCCTCTCTTACCTTCGTTTCCACTGCGTAGCGCTCGGGAAAAGCTGATCCTGATCGCTACTGGCATGTTTTGGCTTGGAGGGAGTGGATAGCACTGGGACACTATTAGATCACCACCCACCCCCTCCCTGGCTAGGGCCAACAGCTTTGTCGACGACGTCAAGGAGGTCCTGCCCGCTTGTACCATTACCGCCCCCGCCAGCCTACCCTGTCGTCGACCAGTCATCAGTTTTCTGGGGGTAATGGGAATCCGTTTGCCGCGTCTCTGAATGTCAGCAGACCTTTTCTGAGCCCATGTCTGATGCCACGATCCTGTTGCAGGTTTGAAGGAAATTCCGTTGACGAAGCTCGTCTCGGTTTCGAGGCAAACGTGCTCGCTTGACAGCCTTCGGTTCGTTCGATAGTCTGACGCCAGCCCACTCCCCCCATTGACGTGAGTTCTTGGCTAAATTTCGCCTTGAGTTCAATTTTGTTGCCATCGAGGCCGTGAAGCCATGATTTAGTCACGATTCCTGCGTTGCCTTGGGACCGACATCGAGGTACCGAGTGCCAAAAATGTCATCTTCGAATAAAATACTGGGTTACTGAGGTGACTGTGAGACTTGAGTAACATCAAATTCACTGAGAAAGACAAAGGGCTTGAAGGGAAATTGACATATTCATACTGCTGCTGCTGCTGCTGCTGCTGCTGCTGCTGCCCGTGAAGATATTCGACATCAGACAATCACTTACACCCCGCATCTCCAACCAGAAATCGCAACAGAAACGAGCTTTTCAAATCTCTCGATAAACGGAGCGGCCCGCAAAGCTGTCATCCCATCTGATCCTCAGACTTTTAGACTATCGAGAGAACACACCTTTGCTCCTGCAATCTAAATCCATCCCAGCTTGTGAAGCATTAAAGGGCCACCATTCTTATCCTCCGCAGACACTCCTCTAAAAGCCACAAAGCCATCGTCAAGTTCGGCTTACATCAAGACCAAGCCCAAGCTCTGGGCTTGAAAGGCAGTGAGACCGGCGCCCTCATCAAACCGTGGCGTCTCCATTACGTACAAAAAGCCAGACAAGAAGCTAGGAGCCCAGAACACTTTTCCCCAGACGCCCGGTGAGCGCCATAGTCCGCCATCTTCCTTCCTCCACACATCGAATCTCCTTACCCCGCGTTTCCGCTGAACCTGGCTCCCTCCGGATGAGGCAAGCCCTGGTCCAGAGCTGGAGGAGGTGCCATCTGATCCGTTCAGCCCGTGTGATCAAAAGTTCTTTCCCCATACCTTGCGGATGAGCAGGGGGGGGGGGGGGAGAAAAGGGGTGGTAGGTAGTCAGGTAACGGTGCACTCTCTCAGGGCTGAGCGCCCGCAACAACGTGGTTGAAGCCCTCGCTGCGGGAACATCTTTGTCCTGGGGAGGTTATGGGTGGTGTCGATGCGCCCGGTGAAGAGCGTCGGCCGTTTCAACGTCGTGTTGAAAAATGAAAGCTTTGTGGTGTTATATATTGGCCTGTTGATCTTGGATTGCTATGATCTGCTTGCCACTCCCCAAGTAGAGCTCGCTATCTCTGCCATGGCCATAGACTCAGCTGCTGGTTTACTATTATTTTTGTTATTGTTCTGAAACCCCTTGTGGCTCTTCGTTGTGTCTGTACAAATCGCTGCGGGCAGATTTGCAGCGTGCTCCTGAGTAGTCGCTGATTATTGTGAACAGTGACAAGCCGTTGACGCCTCGACGATCTATCTACCTTACACGTAGGCCTTTGACTTCCTGAGTATCATGTGGCAAGACTACTCATGAGGTTCCCCGAGTCGCAAGTGGCATTTTATTTAGAAGTTCGTCACCAGGCCGGGAGCTTTCCATGAATGAGACAATCAGACTTAAAAAGCCATGTCACGTCAAAAACTTTTGTCTCACGAACATTGTGGCCTCGAAGCAAATAATCAAGTTGTCAATTAGATGGTTTCAAGGCCTATTCCAGGTAGCCTAAGACTGCCAACCCACCCAAAGGCTCACAGTTTCGTTTTCCATGTCTGCTTTTCCCAAAGGCATATTCCCAAGATCATGTACTCGGAATCTAGACAGCCGACCTTCAAGAAGAGGAGATTGGGCACCATGCATGCTTAAGTAACTTCGCTTACGCCAAGACGACCTCAGCCAACTACCACAAGACCTGGCAACTCCCCCAGAATATTTCCGTTTTCATGGGATAGGTTATTATAGGAAAGCCGTGGGAGATGAACTGCGCAGTCTGCTTCAGCCTCGGCGCGGAGGAGGTCAAGGGCCAGAAGCTCGGCACAAACCAGCGCATGGCCAAGTTCATCCAGATTCACGACCTCCAACGATCCGCAACCACCACATCATGCCAATTTTGCCAGCTCCTCTGGGCTTCGCTGCGTCTGCGCAAGAAAGATTTATGTGAGCCCGGGGGTAAAGATGTATCTGGACTGCTGCAGATGCGCTTCGCACCAGGCACACCGCTCCAGATTTCCGTGTCGGGCTGGGGACAAGATAACATTGCTCTAGAGCTCTTCTCGCGACGAGGTTAGATCAGGGTTCATTACGTCGGAAATCCGTACTCGAATGTCTCTCGTTCAACTCGCTCACAACATGAACAGATGACCATGGCACATGCCATCCAACAATCGGTCCGGCCCAGGAGGTAGAGAGCCACTCATCCTCCCCGGCCAGTCTCACCTTAGCATCATTATGGCTTCAAACCTGCCTCGCAAATCACCCATCCTGCAGACAACCAGCATCAGCCTCAACCCTCCCGACCCGTGTAATAGACGTCGGTACCAAAGACCACTCCGAACCGCGCCTCATCGAGTCCCGCGGAGCCTCCGGCGCATATGCAGCGTTAAGCTACTGCTGGGGCGACCCGGCATCCCATCCGGCTTTCAAGACGACGCGCCTCAACTTCGCCGCGCACCAAGACTCCATGCCATGCGCCGACATGCCACCGACCCTGCGGGACGCCGTCGCCATCACCAGAAACCTCGGGCTGCAGTACCTATGGATCGACGCCCTCTGTATCATCCAAGGCGACGCTCAAGACTGGGCCCGGGAGGCGGGCCGCATGTGCGAAGTTTACTCCAACGCAACGGTCACCATCTCCGTAGACCACGCAGACGGAAGCGGCGTCGGCGTCTTCGCACCCCAGGCCTTTGGCGCCCCGCCGCAGCGTCTCGACGAGCTCGGGGACGGCGTGCGGCCGGTCTACGTCCGCGACGAGCTCAAGAGGAAACACAACGACATCACCGTCCTGCTCCGGACGATCGAGGCGGAGGGCGCACACGGGGAGCCCATCAACAAGCGCGCCTGGACGCTTCAGGAGGCGATCCTGTCCAACAGGACGCTGCACTACACGACCAACGAACTCGTCTGGGAGTGTAACACGTCGCGCTCCTGCGCCTGCCGCCGCGACCAGCCCGTCGAGCTGGACGAGGAGTCGGTGCGGTGTTTCCGCTCGCCGGAGCTGTTTCGGTCGCTATCGTCGGCGGAGAGGGCGTACCTGCAGTGGCGGCAGGTCGTCCAGCTCTTCTCGGAGCGGTCCATTAGCTTTGACGCGGACCGGCTGCCGGCGCTGTCCGGGATGGCGAAGCAGTTCCGGATGATGCACGAGGATGTGTACGGCCGTGGACGTGAAGGACACGAGCAGCAACGGAAGAGGTATATCGCCGGTTTGTGGGAGGGCGATTTCGCGACGCAGTTGCTATGGACGGCGGACGATGACTACTGGCGCAATCCGGAGACTGTCTCGCGGAAGCCTGGGAAGTGGAGGGCGCCGAGCTGGAGCTGGGCGGCCATTGAGGGGCCCATCATGTTCCATCCCATGTCGCACTTCAAAGGTGACTTGAAGGTGTTGGATGTCCAGGTAGAGCCTTTGATGGCGGAGGATATCTACGGTCAAGTTTGCGAGGGAGCCAAGATCGTGGTTCAGGGGGCCATAGTACACGACCTTGAGATTACGACTACGGAGATACAGGATGGGGATTCAATGATGGGGTTCACGGAAGGCGTGAGGTACGACCTAGTGGATGGGGAAGCGAACAGGTACACCATGATCTGCGACTATGCAGGCTCCGTTGCCCGGGGTCAGCGGTACTCCTGTCTGCTCGTGGGAAAGACGTGGAACAAGGGCGACGCCCATCCATATCATGGTTTCATCGTCCTCGAGAGGGTAGAGCCTGGCACTGACATGTTCAGGCGGGTTGGCGTGTCGTTTCGGGCAGGGGCCTTGAAGAGTACGAACGAAGTGAAGTTGTTTGATAACATAGCTCGCGAGATCATCACTCTCATCTGAATGCGACGACTTGCAAATAAATGAATGAAGCCAAAAAATAAGCTTTTGATAGACAAAGTTGCACCGATGGGCAAAAGACTGGACGATCAGGGGATTGAACCCTGGGCCTCCCGCAGACGCTGAATGAATGCAAAGCGGGCGCTCTACCACTGAGCTAAACGCCCGGTGTTAACCGGAAACATCTCGGCGCTGACAGATCGGCCTCGGAAGCGGAATAATGTAGGCTTACTCCATCGTTGTTTGTGCAGCACATCTTGAAATGTTGGCTTTAATCCTCTTGTGTGAGCCTATCAAATAGAAAAGTCCTCGTGAGACATACTGACAATAAGCGGACTATTCTTCTCCTTAACGCGGGAAAGGGCAAGGTTTATGTGCTTCCTCGGAGCGGCCATTTCCCCGTGTGAGTGAACAGCGATTGGATACCTAAGACTTCATCTAACCAGGATGAATTTACTTACTTACTTAGCTGAGGGGGGTTATGGAGCGGGGTAAATTCACATCATGAGAGTTTGGCATACTGTATGGGTGACGTTGAGACCCTGTACCCCGCGAGCGAGGCGAGCCAGTTTTTGATGCGAGCGCTACACAATGACGAGGCTAGGCATAGCATCTGGGTTGCCTCGGGGTTCTCCCCCGCAATCAGAGATCGTCAAAGGCAGAAAGGAGACTGGTCGAGCAAGAGGCTCTGATCGAAACGGTCACATAGTACTAATGATCACAAGCATCGTTATAGGTATCTCAGACATGAGACCACTTCGCACGCTGGCTAGTCACATAAGTACGGCTCGAGCAGAAAGCCAATATTCGAATCATCTTCTCTTCTGTGATACACGCCCTGGCTGCTCTAAAATATCCCGGAAATGGAGAATGACGCTGCGGGATATATACAATCGTCGGAAATTTTTGTCTTCACCTCTTTTCGCCTTTTGTAAAAACCACAAGACCCATACAAGAAAAAAAGACAGAGAACACAAAGCTCCCGCAAGGAAAACAAAAAGGCGTTCGAATCTAGCAGATAGTTGTTCATACTTCAAGCCCCCCTTGATCGTCAAGAAAACATGTTTCTTCTGATCAAACATACCCTTAAGCCTGGTTACGCTTGGCAAGCATGCTCAGAGCGCTACCCGCGAGAATGAATCCAGCCTGGTCCTTGGTAACAGCGTGGGCGGTCGGGATCAACACCTCGGAGCCGTCCTTCTTCTTGACGAGCAGCTGCACCTTACCCTGCCCGCCGTTCTGGAGCATTTCGTACAGACCGACGGTGCTGACCTCGTCGCACGCCGCAATCTTGTCGTAGTCGGCCTCGTTCTCAAACGTCAGGGGCACGACGCCCTGCTTCTTCAGGTTGGTCTCGTGGATGCGCGCAAAGGACTTTGTCAGCACGACGCGGGCGCCGAGGTACCGCGGCTGCAGGGCGGCGTGCTCGCGGGCGCTGCCCTCGCCGTAGTTGTGCTCCGCGACGACGAGCCACTCCTGTCCGCGCTCCTTCCACAGTTGCGCGAGCTCGGGGATGGTGTGCTTGGAGCCGTCGACGTCGTAGGCGGCGTTGACCTCGCCCGTCTCCTTGTTCACGGCCGTGTTGAGCGTGTTTGTGCTGATGTTGGGCAGGTGGCCCTTGTACTTGAGCCAGGGGCCCGCAGCCGAGATGGTGTCGGTGGTGCACTTTCCGGTGACCTTGACGAGGACCTTGAGGCCGCTCAAGTCGCTCTCGGGGAAAGGCGCAAAGGGCTCGAGGAAGGCGAGGCGCTCCGAGGTCGGGGCGATGGCGATTTTGACGTCGGCGTTGGGCTCGTCGGGCGAGATGGACTGGAGGGACGCGACGCCGGATTCGAAGGGGGTCTTGGGGTTCTCCAGGCCGCGGGGAGCCTCGAACTTGAACTCCTTTCCGTCGGGGGTCTGCAACTTGTCCGTCATGGGGTTGAAGGTGGTCGCGCCGGCGTAGGCCATAGCGGTAACGATTTCAGGGGAGGCGAGAAAGTTCATAGTGCCGGGGTTGCCGTCGTTGCGGCCCTTGAAGTTGCGGTTGTACGACGTCAGGATAGCGTTCAGCTGGCCCTTGGGAATGTCGTCCTGGCGCTTCCACTGGCCGATGCATGGGCCGCAAGCGTTGGAGAGAACGATGCCACCAGCACCCTCCAGAGTCTTCAGAGTACCATCGCGCTCGAGAGTAGCGCGGATCTGCTCGCTTCCAGGGGTGATGTAGAAGGGTGCCTTGGGCTTCAAGCCGGCCTTCTCAGCCTGCTTGACCATGCTCTCGACCTTGGTCATGTCCTCGTAGGAGCTGTTGGTGCAGCTGCCAATAAGACCAGCGGACAGGACCTCGGGCCATTGCTCAGTCTGGATGGTCTCCTTGAAGGCGGACAAGGGGGTAGCCAAGTCGGGGGTGAAGGGGCCGTTGATGTGGGGCTCGAGCTCGGAAAGGTTGATCTCGATGACCTGGTCGTAGTGGGCATCCTCGTCGGCTCTGAAGTTGAAGCTTGACCACTTCTTGTATGCATCCAGCGCCTTGTGTTCGGCTTGTCTACGGGTTTGGAGAAGGTAGCGTTCAGAGGCGGCAGTGTAGGGGAAGATAGAGGTCGTAGCGCCGACTTCGGCACCCATGTTGCAAATGGTGGCCATTCCGGTAGCGCTTAGAGTTTCAACGCCCTCGCCGAAATACTCAACGATAAATCCGGTTCCGCCGCGCACAGTCAACTTGCCGGCCAGGTTGAGGATAACGTCCTTGGGGGACACCCAGTCGTTGAGCTTACCGGTCAGCTTGACACCGAGCACACGAGGGGCCTTCAGCTCCCAAGGAGCACCAACAAGCGCCTCCACAGCATCGGCACCGCCAACTCCGATAGTAATGGTGGACAGACCACCGGCGTTAGGGCTGTGGCTGTCGGTTCCTAACATCATGATGCCGGGAAGAGCGTAAACCTCCAGAACCGTCTGGTGAATAATGCCTGCACCAGGGGGCCAAAAGTCCATGCCGTACTTGCGTCCGGCAGACTCGAGGAAGTCAAACACCTCCTTGTTCACGCTAATACCGTCCGTCAAATCGCTCTCGGCGCCCTTGGAACCCACAATCAAGTGGTCACAGTGGATGCTGGCGGGAATCGCAGGCTTCGCGAGGTTGCAAGACATGAACTGCAGCAGCGCCATCTGAGCCGACGCGTCTTGCATGTTGACCCGGTCCGGATTCAGCTTGAGATTAGCACTGCCGCGGATATTGCGTCCATTGTCCGTGTTCGTGAGAAGCGAGTCCTCGACGTTGTCCAGATGACTGTACAGGATCTTTTCGGCGAGGGTGAGGCGCTGCTGTCCAAGGACATGACGGACCTTGAGGAGGTTGTCGTGAAGTCTGCGGTACGTGTTGGGCTTGATAGACTTGGGGAGCAGCTTGCGCATCTCAGCGTCTTGCTGCTCGACGTCCTGGGCGGTCGCGAATGTCCTCCTAATCGGCAGGCTCGAGGATGCGGAAAGGCATGGTCGCGTGCGAGTCAGAAGCCGCTACAATCTCGTCAGTTTCTCTTTTCTCTTCGCACTGATTGAAATATAGTTATTCCTCACCCTCGCGGCGCCTCCTGACCGACTGGCAAGCTCAATTGGTGCCATCGTCACTGAGCACCTCTCACAGGTTACTGTGAGTCGAACTTGGTGGCGGGGTGTGATGTGGAATTTTTTGGGTTGACTGTTGGCGACATCGGCACATAGGATCCAATTGGAAAGACTCAATTGAAAAGCCGGTGCACAAGTCCGGGGGAAGTTTACACCTAGTGGAGGTCATGGTCCCCATCCCTGCTCTGCCGGCTTCGCTCCGAAAACTACACCGGGAATAGCTGCGCCGAGGTAATGCCCCTGCACAGTCAACCTGCACGGTCAACCCGGACGGTCCAGCTCGGAGCCGCCTCGCCGAGGTGCTCAATTCCGGTGGTAATGTCACCAACAAAAAGTAAGCTCAATAGGAACTTGTGGCCTGTCAACTGTTCTACTGGCTGAATTTCAGACGGTATAGACGATGCAAAGAAACAATTTCCCCTATCCCAGATGCTTATCTATACACAATCCTTGAACTCCTATGTCACTATGTTCCCCATCTGTTGATGCCCCCATGCTGCTGCTCTACTGATCGTACTCTGAGCTCTTGGTGCCAATGAAACCCTCGCTTCTCTCTCTCCTCCGCCGGCCCATGACCTCCTTGTACCATTCGGTGAGGGTATAACCCCAGTGGCCGGCAACGAGAACGCCGCTGATAACGTTGACAATCTTCATCAAGAACTGGAGGAAGCCATCTCTGGACTCTTCCACGGATAGCAGAATGGGCTCAATGTCGTACTTGAAGAAGATACCGGGAATGTTGTGGTCATCGGTCTCCTTACTCTGTTCTGTAACGGCATACTGGTTCGTAGAAATGAGGTTGGACGACGAGTGGCCGACAGAGTAGACGGTGGGAACCACGGACAAGTAGTACTGGAATTTGTGGAAGTTGATCCTGGCGAGGTTGACCGTGCGATCCAGGGGGTTCACAAGCGAGGGGTAGAATGGACCGAAGGACATCTCTGAAATGATGTGCGAGAAGTTGAAAGCTGCGTGAAATTGTAAGCCAACGCGTCAAGATTCAATCCCAAGATGATCAACTTACCGGCATGATCCAAGTGCTCGCCAAACTCCATGTAGCCGTGGCCCCTGGCGGTGATGTGGAAGTCACCCTGCACTCTGTTCACATCAAGGTTGCCGTAAATGCGGCAGCTGTCGCCGTCGCCCCAGAGTCTGGGTGTCTTGGCCCATTTAGCCCTTTTCTTGCTGAGCGACACAATGTCGTGGACGTGCTCCTCCCCGAAACCCTCCTCCTCCTGCCAGCCAGCGCCGGTGTCAATCTTGCCCTTGCTGTCTCTTCCCAAGCGGTGGATTCCCTTGCTGTCCACCCACTGCGACCAGTTCGTCTTGTCGCGCTTGAGCATGCTGCTTGCGAGGATACGATCACCCGCCGCATCTTGAACGTTGATGTGAAGGTCATC